CCCCAAAACCCCAAAACCCCAAAACCCCAAAACCCCTGAAATAATTCCTAATATAGAAATTTAAAATTTTAAAATCTAAAATTCAAACATGAGTATTACCCCTGTTTTAGATTTAGAGCCAAGTTTTAAGGATCTTAGCAGGTGTTCATCGATAGATGATGGAGCGTTTAAAGCAAGCAGTCGGATTGGATTTAAGAAGAGTTTGAAAGGGACGAGATTGAGGGAGAAGATGGGGAGGAAGGGTATGAAGAGTAATGTTACATCCAGGTAAGCTCTCTTTTTGCATACTGTAGCAGATCAATCTCTGCAGATAGGAAGGAAGAAACATTCAAGCCATCAATCAACTCGAATCCTAAGGTAAAAAGGAACATTCAAGATTTATTCCAGTGGAAATATCAACAAGAAATGAAGGTATTCTCTAGACCCCACCTATAGTATTTGGAAAGCCAGCAAGCCAAAGAGAGTCAGTTCCAGAAAGAACTTGGCCAGCTGAAAAAGAGGAAGAGGTAAGCATTTTCAAAAACTCTCTAAACTCTGTACAGGAATAAAATATCAGAGAAACTCACAAAGAACAGAGCAGAAGAGCCAATAGAAATCAGGCTGCTTAGAGAAGGCAAATTGAGGGATAAGAGAAAGCAGCAGAAAGCTAAAAATGAATCCAAACCAACCTCTATGCATCAAAGAACTAGAAGGCAAAGGATAAAATCCTCTTGAGGCAGCGCAATTGAAATCATTAGGGACTCCAAAGGTATCTATCTGATTTATTTTTAGACTCTAGGAATGAAACCGAGGCTTATATTACTGAACCTGAGAATCATAAGTTCCTGATCAGCACTTCTTGCTTGGATACAAGCCAATTTGATGATAAAGTAATGCCAATTTATTATTCTCTAGCAAGTATCAAAAGATAAGAATGTACCGGTAACTGATAAAAATGCTCAAGGAAGGCGTCAGACTCTTAAAAATTGAAGTACTGAACCAGATAATTATTTCTCTAAAACTGAATTGAGGAAAGACTCATTGAAAATCTCAAATTCTTTGGATGAGAAGCCACTGAATTTATCCCAGATTCGAATGTCAACAAAGAGGAAAGACATGTGTTCGAAATATTTGACTGAGAAAAGGAATGAAATAGAGGTAAATCTCATATAAATCATTAAAACCTCGGATTCATTTGGAAGCTAAAGTAGGCTTAATATGTCTATAGAAGCTCTCACCTCAACTCCCTTCAGCTTTTGAGATTCGGAAGGGAGTCACAAGGTATTTACTTCAGTCTAAATCTTTAGGAAATACTATGATAAAGCTCCAGAATATCATGTTGAGAAATTTGATAAGCTCAAAAAATCAATTACAGGGACAAGTATCCCTTCTCAAGATGAGAGTAGTGGGATTTCTAATAACTTTAATGGTCATCATGCAACTTCTCCTACTGAATACTGGTAATTTTAGGCTTGATTTCTCTTAGGACCTCAGATAGAAGGATCGAAGAGCAAGCTACTCAAAACAGATCATTAGATAATAGTAAGAAAAAGAAGGATAAGCAACAGTCGAAGAGGTACGTTGGATATAACACAATAGCCTGTACTATCAATCATTGTTTTCAAAAGTAGCCAAAAAGGCTAATTTTGGAAATGAGGAAAAGTGTCAACCTCAGATTTCAAAAACTGTATTTACACCAAAGGAGTACTTGAGGTTTGTTTGTGCTGAAAATCATAGAACCGATGAAAATATAAATAATACGAGAGACTTGAATCAAAAATTTGAGAATGATCTAGGAATTGGTTCAGCAAGAAATTTTCCTCCTGATTTATTCTGCCATCCTTTATATGCTCAGAACAGGATTGAGAAACAGCCAGAGACTACTAGAAACATTATTAATGATGGAAATCAGATATATTACACACTGTAGCTTTCTTAATTATACTTATAGAACACCTGCTGAGCCTCAGCAACTTCTAATCGACCCTAAATATGAAACAACCAAGCACAATATTCTCCATCAAAGGAACCAGACCACTACTGCTTACGCTTTCCCTTATCCTCAGAATCAAGATAGAATATCTCATGGGTGAATTATCAGTCATGAGACCTTGAAACCAGTCGTTGAAGTTTCAAAGGGATGTTTAAACACCTTCACATCTCAAAGCAAAATGAAACCTCAGATAGACACTGATATAAAATCCCATATGATTAACAAGATGCTAGAGAGCGACCAATTCCGCACCTCTCATCACAGTAAGGCGAACTCTATCGATTTGGATTGCCCTTCAGCTCAAATCCATAAAGCCATGAAATCGAAATCTTTTATCAAAACAAGGCAAGCATCTCTATAACTCTTTAGCAAGCAGAGGTCTTCCAAGAGCAGGTCAAAGAGCAAGAAAGCTAAAAAGAAACCTCTGACTACAAAAAATCACTCAAAGCCTAACATCACTGTAGACTTTATAGCCAGGAACAAGCGGTGGCTCCAAAAGAAGAAGAATAAGCAGAAGAAGATCAAGGAAATTGAAGACCAGAAGAAACTTCAAGAGTGTACATTCAAGCCTAAAACTCTTGGCAAAGAGTTTACTAAGAAGAAGAAGACTGAGAAATTGAGAAGTAAGATCTCTAAATCTCTCAGTCCTCAGAAGATCAAAATTAATGACCAGTTTGACCTCTCGGTGATGAAAAAGGCCAGGATGAGAGTTGAGCATGCAGGAGAGCAAGAGAAGTTCATTATGGATCAGATCTCTCCTACTAATATCCCTCCAAGTGGCTTTAAAAATAATTCGGAGGAGATCAAAGAGGAATATGAGGAGAGTGTCAGTGGGAGCAAAACTGATGAAGAGTTTTATCAAATAGATATGCTCAAAAGTGATTTAAAGAGTGATACAGTTACTCTCAATTTAAGTAAATCTCCAAGGATCCAGCACCAAATATTGAATAAGAATGATGACACTATTTCTGCATCAAAAGATCCAAATGAGGGGCAGAAGTTAGGAGAGCTTCCTGCAGCAAAAAGGTACTTTTGATACTGAATCTTATAGGCTAATCTTCAACAGTAAAAATCAAGAGCACAGAGGAGACGAAGGAGCTGATAGCTCCCCTCCTCAAAGTTTCGCAGCTTTAGTTCGTGGAAAAGAGAATGCTACTCCAAATAATGGTCTAATTAACAATAAGAATCGTGCAGAAATATTTAACACTATGCCTGTCCTTAAAGAGAATTCTACACTCTCTGTTTCTGTAATGGAAAGCGAAAGGAAGACACCAAATAAGCTAGTTGAAAGGCAAGAAGTTATCCAAGTAGAGGTAGAAGACTCAGGATTTGATGATTTCAAGAGCTTTGAGGATCAAAAAGACTTCGATGAATACAAAAAGGAAGATTTTAACAACTACCTTAACTTAAAAAGAGAGGAAGACTCCTTTGATTATGAATCTGAGCTGAGTATTCCCATTGAGAACGTTGATGGGCATTTTTAATACCTAATTCCTGCTAATATTCTGATTACCAATTCCTCTACTATATACCTGTTGGTATAATATATCACCCAATCATTGTAATAAATGTAGGGGTTTTGGGGTTTTGGGGTTTTGGGGTTTTGGGGTTTTGGGGTTTTGGGG